AGGGCTGATCAGGGGGTTGGGGCATCCTCCCCTGTCACGAACAGAGCAGGGCAGATAGGGAGGTTGTGGCCCCGCCCCCTGTCACTCACAGAGCCGCAGGGCGATCAGGGGGTTTGGGTGCTGCCCCCTGTCACGCTGATCCCGGTGCCGGGAGGCATATTACCTTTTTACTATATAGAATAGAGGCCTGGTGCATGGGTGGGGGCCGGCTGGTTTGCCCTGAAGGGTGTCCTGGATCAGGGTGGGGGTCCCCTCTGGGGTGCCTGGCCAGTCTGGGTGAGGGGCTGAGGGCTGTTTTCTGGCTGGCGAGTGACTGAAGCTCCCAACCGCTCCTTGTTTTCTTTTTTTTTAAATTTTTATTCTGGGCCAGCTTTAGCTCTGAGGCCTTGCTGCTGAAAACATCGATACAATGTTGCGGTCTGGCTGGCTTTCAGTCTGGCTGATTTCTGGGGTTTTGTTTAGCTTCTTATTTGCAACATAGTACATAGTTGCTTAGAGTTGCAAGTTAGACGGGGAACGTTGGAGTCCACAGTCACTGAAGCAAGCAAGCCTCCCTGCTCGTTTCAGTGCATGGCTGCCGACCGTCATCTTGGCTGACAGTTAATTTGCATAAGGATATGCTGGTTAGCCAATGGGAAGGGTAGAGGTCGTACGCTAATTACCATGTTTCTCTTTTATTAGTGTAGGTAGTATACAACTTAATGGGCGTTTGCCACAGAATGGCATCTGGGCTAGGTTAGGCTAAAAGCTGAGAAGGGGCTTTGTTGATGGATGACATGTGAGAAGTGCTCCTGCCCTTAAATCCTGCCCGTGTTTGCCACTGAGAATGGTGGGGAAGAGCCTGTTTGAGAGCATTGCTTCAGAGGCAGGGTGTGATGTTCACTGCTGTCCTGCTCTGTTGGACATAGAACTGTCTGTAATGTTCCTAATTCTCAGTCCGTGTTACTGTTCATGGAGCCATGACTAGTGTAGATGGTCTCATGCCCCCAGATATTCAAACTGAGGTATATTCTCCACTGTGAGGTGCCTCAGGACCAAGAGGAAACTTCTCCCTTCCCTGGTGTGAATCCCTAGAGCTGATCCCCAGGGTCACCGTCAACAGGTGGAGGGAAAAGAAGTCCAGGTTTTTCATCTTTATTTAAAAACATTGTGAATAGTGGCCTGTATAACCTAGCAATTTAAACATTTAAAGGGCTTCATTTTTATTAATTGTTAACAGAATAACTCCCATAAAATAATTGCTGTTAGCTCTTGACCCTGAAAAGTTAACTGTTTACTTGAGCTAATCAAGTGGCCCAGCTCAGGTCCTCATCCTGGACTCGGAATCCAGGGATCTTTCCAGCTGGTTCAGGGAGGACCCTCCCTGTGGGGAGACTTGCCTCTGCCCCACATCTCACTCCATCTTTTCCTCTCTGTTACCCCTGCCCTCCCAGTGGAGCCCACAGTGACCATCTTCCCAGCCAAGACAGAGGCCCTAACCCACCACAACATGCTGGTCTGCTCGGTGACGGATTTCTATCCAGCCCACATCAAAGTCCGGTGGTTCCGGAATGACCAGGAGGAGACAGCTAGCGTCCTGTCCACCCCCCTGATTAGGAACGGGGACTGGACCTACCAGATCCTGGTGATGCTGGAAATGACCCCCCAGCGAGGAGACGTCTACACCTGCCGCGTGGAGCACTCCAGCCTCCAGAGCCCCCTCACAGTGGAGTGGCGTAAGGGACAGTTTCTTTCCTGCACCCTGGGCCCCACAGACAGAGGGCAAACAGCAGACCCTGCCTGTCCCATTGCATCCCTGCCCCTGATGTCACTGCTGAGTGGACATCATAGGACGCTAGGCCGCCTCATTCCATGGCAGGGGCATCAGAAGATTCCTAATCTCATTGTGTTTCCAGACACTAGGGAGGTCACTCTACACCATGACTATGGTGGCTGGTGACGGGGCTTAGGATCCAAGGTTAGGATGTGTGTGAAGGAGCCGGACCCACTCCCCCGTCACCACCCACGGTGTCCAAGGGTTTACTGGCTGGTCCCCCCAGGGATGGAGGCTTCCAAAGGGCCCCTGTGGGTTTGGGACAGAAGCTGACACCCAGGCTCTGCTCCCCAGGGGCACAGTCTGGATCCGCCCAGAGCAAGATGCTGAGCGGCGTCGGGGGCTTCGTGCTGGGGCTGATCTTCCTGGGCCTGGGCCTTGTCATCCGTCACAGGAAACAGAAGGGTAAGCAACTGGGGAAACGGGAAGATGGGCTGTGCCCGGGACCCTCTG